GCCTGATCACTAGGCCTTTAGGGACGGAAGGTGCCCTTCCTGTTGACGGGCCAGGCCTCTGACCCAGCTGCCTCCTCTCCTGGGGTGGCAGGAAGGGCCCAGGACTGAGGCGGCAGACGAGGGACCCCGCCAGCTGAGCCTCTGCTCAGCTGTGAGATCGGGGAAGCCCTGCCTGCGTGCGCACCGCCGTGGCTTTCTTCTCCCTGAGAGGTAAGGGAGGTGGCTGGCTGTTCAGCGGGTCCCTTCCACTTTGGGAATCCCCAATTTCAGCAGCAGAACTTCCTCAAGCAGAAAGCCGCTGGGAAAGTGGGTGCCCTGGGGGGTGGCAGAGCCCCGGGGGAGGCAGACACAGGCGCCCTGGGCAGGCCCTGCCTCCAGCCTGGCGGACGCCTCCCCGGGTTCCATGCCCAGACCAGGGCTTCCAAGGACCACAGTTCGTACTTGAAAACTGTCGGACAGTTGACTGTGTTCCTGGAAGCTGTGGTTCAGGAAGAGTGGGAGGGAGAGAGCCATCCAGGGAGAGCAGAAGACAGAGCCGAGAAAGACAGGCAGGGGGAGGAGCCGCAGGAGAGGAGAGGTGAGAAGAGGCGAGGCGGAGACCCACGTGGGGAGGAGGCCACCGGCGGAGGGGTGAGGAGGGCGGAGCTGTGGGCAGCCTGAGGCGCTGCCTGGACACAGAGCAGAAGCACCACTTGCGTTCCCTTTTTTAATTTTTTGATACAGTCTCGCTCTGTCGCCAGGCTGGAGTGCAGTGGCGCGATCTCGGCTCACCGCAGCCTCCACCTCCCGGGTTCCAGCGATTCTCCAGCCCCAGCCTCCGAGTTGCTGGGATTACAGGTGCCTACCATGCCCAGCTAATTTTTGTATTTTCAGCAGAGGCGGGTTTTCACCATGTTGGCCAGGCCAGTCTCGATCTCCTGACCTTGCAGTCTGCCTGCCTCAGCCTCCCGAGGTGCTGGCATCACAGGCGTGAGCCCTGCGCCAGCCGCAGTTGCTTTGGGGGCAGGAGGCAGAGCAGCTGTGGGGTGGTCCTCGTCCTCTCCCCAGTCCCTCGAAGAATCGGAGCCGGTGGCCGCAGCCCCGGACTGGAGACACCACTGTTGGTGGATTTTCTGTAAAACAGTAACAAAGACCCCGCCTCCGGAGAGGCACCCTTCACCCCTGCTGTCTGGCCACAGGGGAACCCACACCGGTGGCTGTTGTCATGGTGACCGGCATCCCAAGGCCGGGAGCAGATCTCAGAGGCCTGACTCCTGTGTCACCCTTTATTGCACAGTGACAAGCACGGCCCCCTCGGGGAAGCACCCGCCACGTGTCAGGCTGGTGCCAAGCTCCTTTCACGCACTGTGGCATCCGCTTTACAGCCACACAATGGGACACGACTGTCTGTGTGTGAGTGTGCGTGGGCGCACGTGTTTTCTTCTGCGGATACGACTATTCATCTTACTTTACAGGAGAGAGCAGGCAGCCCACCTTCAGAGCCCTGCACTGAAATAAAATGTGGGAGCGGCCCATGGACCTCGGTGGCAAAGGGTCGTGGGAGCTGCGCCCCTGCCTCTCGGACCCACGCTGGTTTCTGCACCTTGAGCACCAGAATGACAGCTTCACAGAGCAAGTGTGAGGATGAAAGACGGCGTGAGCCACTGCGCACAGGCCCTGGCCGGCAGGGCTGGATCAGGGTCGTGTTAGCGCAGGAGTCTGACAAGCCTTCCGCCCCGGCCTGCTTCCTCCACCCCTTCTTCTGCACGGTGAGAACCAGCAAGAAGGGACTCACGCCCAGACAGGGCATGGCACCAGGCACTGTGCCCAGCTGCCCACGAGGGTCAACCAGCAAGGTGCCTGTGTCCTGGGAGGTCCTAGGGTTCTGCCCTGGGTCCTGCAGCGCCATGACCTCCCCTTCCCCCTCTGTCCCCGCCCTGCCCCACCCTCAGCCACCTGCAGGGCCCCCACCCAAGGGTCAGGGCAGAGCAGGGCAGGGCCGGGAAGCAGTGGGGTGGGAGTCATTATCGCTGGCTGCACAGCGGGAGATGGAGTTAAACCCAACCTTCTTATCAGTTCCCAGGCCTGTGCCAAAAGGCACAGCCCAGCCCAGCTATGAGGCACCAGGGCTGGAGGGCAGAGCCCTGAGGTTGCCGGGGCTCTGGTTGCCCTGTGCCTGGTCCTGGGCCATTCTGTCCCCTCTGGAATGGCCCAGGACCAGGCTTAGGGGCAGCGGCCTGGGAAGCAGAGTCACCAGACTGGCTGTACCGTGTGGTCTTACGCAACCACTTCCCTCTCTGGGCCCCAGAGTGCCTGTTTGTGAATCTGGGGCGGAGGGGCGGCTGGATGAGGTGGCCGAGCTCCTTCCCCACCCCCGAGAGAGTTAGGGTCCTGTGACCCCGGGAGGTGGCTGTGACTGTCAGTGCTGCAGACGAGGAAGGTGAGGCTGTGCACAGCGGCACAGGGCGGTGACCCCCACAGCACAGCAGCTGCTGGGCACAGAGAGGAATGACTGGCTGAGTCCCACCCCACACGCCCATGAGGCCCGTGGCCCGTCCAGAAGGCCCGTGGAAGAAAGGCATGGAGATGGGGAGCAGCTCTGGGCACCCCGCCCAGGGACCAGCCCCCTTCTTCAGGTGCTGGGCACCGTCTGGGACCTCTCAGAGGGGCCCTGGACAGGCAGGCCCTTGGCAGCCCTGCAGGCCTGGGGTCACCCCTTGACTCCAGCACGGAGAAGGAAGGATGGCTGGCTTCCTGGGCATGTGGGCAGCAGGCCCCATAACTGGGCTCTGATAACACCCCTCCCCTTATCAGGGGGCCAAGGGCTGGGTGGGGTGCATCTGAGAATCAAGGGCACATTCAGCAGAAACAAGGAAGGGGCAGAAAGGAACAGGGGGTGCAGTTCAACTGAGGCCTCCCAGCCTGGCTGCAGATTCCCTGAGGGCCCCCTGGCTTCGGGGAGAGAGTGTGGAGTGGCGGGAAGTCAAAGGAAGGGACGGTCTGTGTCTCACTTAACCCTCCAGCCGCAGAGGGGCCTGGTCCAAGCGGCTTTCCCGAAGACACTGTAGAAATTCCAGGCTGGGGCCTGTGCGGCGGCTCACGCCTGTAATCCCAGCACTTGGGGAGGCCGAGGTGGGCGGATCACCTGATCAGGAGTTCGAGACCGGCCTGGCCAACATAGTGAAACTCTGTCTCTGCTAAAAATACAAAAATTAGCCGGGCGTGGTGGTGCACACCTGTAATCCCAGCTACTCGGGAGGCTGAGGCACGAGAATCGCTTGAATCCAGGAGGCGGAGGTTGTAGTGGGCAGAGATCTCACCACTGCACTCCAGCCTGGGCGACAGAACAAGACTGCGTCTCAAAAAAAAAAGCAATCCCAGGCTGGGAGGGACGGAGAGGTCTAGAATCTACTCCCCTCAGAGGGGTCATGGCCTCCTTTGACACTGTGAGGAAATTATGTCTGCCCAGTGGGGAGCAGAGCCCCAGGCAGTGAGAGGAGGTGACTCAGGAGCAGGGCCACAGAGCGAGGGCAGGGCCTCCCCGACCCCGACCCTGGGCCTGGCCTTGGCTGCCTTCTGCTGGGACTCCAGGCTGGCGTGACTTCCTCACCCGGCCAGTTCCGTGATTCACGTCCCGGCCAAGGCCCAGGCTCCTAGACCCTCCTCTGTGGCCCAGGCCAGGCTGGTCCTAGGCTCGCATTTGGAGAAAATCATGACCACACTGGGTGCACCTGTTGTGTACCTACTGTGTAGCTGTGTCTCTGGAGAAAATAATCACAACCACACCGGGTGCACCCCTTGTGTACCTACTGTGTACCTGTGTTTCTGGAGAAAATAATCACAACCACACCGGGTGCACCCCTTGTGTACCTACTGTGTACCTGTGTTTCTGGAGAAAATAATCATGACCACACCGGGTGCACCCCTTGTGTGCCTACTGTGTACCTGTGTTTCTGGAGAAAATAATCACGACCACACCGGGTGCACCCGTTGTGTACCTACTGTGTACCTGTGTCCCTGGAGAAAATAATCACGACCACACCGGGTGCACCCTTTGTGTGCCTACTGTGTACCTGTGTCCTTGATGTTCTGCATGAAACAACTCATTCCAGCCTCTGACAACCTTCCAGAAAGGTGACAGTATTCCCTGTCCCACAGTCACACTCTGGCTGCTAGCAGAACCCGGGTTTGACGCTTCCTCCCCCCGACCCCCACCTGGAGGGGCCTGGAGACTGACTTGTGGGGCCTGGAGCCACCCCAGGGATGGGATCAGAACCAGCTCCTGACTTCCCATCAGAAAGGGGGTGCCAGGGTGAGACACCGCTGCAGGAAGGCTGTGAGGCTGGGATGTGGTGGAAACGCCCTCACCCCTCCACTTCCCCAGGAGGGGCAGCCGGGAGGGGGCCACTCCCAGCCTCAGGGTCAGCCCCAACCCACCCTGAGGCTCCAGGGAGGCAGGGCTGGACCAGGCCAGGCCTGGTGAATTCCTGGGCAGCGGGCGCCCCCTGCAGACAAAGGTGCCGCCAGGCGGAGGCCAGGTCATCCCAACCTCAGACACCCAGCCCTAGCAGGGAGCTGGGCCAGGGCAGCCGCTGCAATCACCATGTTGCCCAGTTTTAAGGATGAGAGAAATGTTAGGTGTCTTGCCCAAGGTCACAGGTGACCTTGGGCAGGTGGTGTCGGGTCCTGAACTCACGTCTCCATAGATCCTGGCTCCCCCAACCCGGAAGGCCTTTGACCCCCAGTAGAGCCTCCCCGAAGCCCTCACCCAGGACAGACATGCACAGCGTGACAGTTGTAAGGGGCAGGCAAGGGTATTTAATGGGCATTGAGGGTCTTGGCACTCCCACCAGGGAAGGGCAAGGGCAGGGCACAGAAAGGCTTCCACTCAGGAGGCGGGTTCAGAAGGTGAGCTCAGGCGGTGTCTCAGGAGGTGGGCTCAGGAGGTGGGCTCAGGAGGTGGGCTCAGGCGGTGTCTCAGGAGGTGGGCTCAGGAGGTGGGCTCATGAGGTGGGCTCAGGCACTGGTGCTGTGGGCATCTCCGGGCGCACAGGGGCGAGAGGAAGGCGGAGCCTCGCCTGGGGCCCTCCAGCAGCAGGGGCCGCACCGGCCCCGTGTTAGGCTAAACAGAACAGGGGTGCAAGGGCTCTTGCCAAGACTGTGCCCCACAGCCCAGGCCAGGTCTCCTGCCCCAGAGGCAGAGCAGAGGGAGCAGGCTGGCCCCAGAACACGCTGCGAAGGCCCCAGGGGCGCTGGGCTTACTCAGCCCGACCGAGGCACTCCTGATGCCCCCAACGTGCCACCTCCAAGTTTCATGGGGCTTCATTTCCTTAAATAAAAGAATCTTCCGCCACCCTCACCCCCTGGCCAAATTATAAACCACAGGCTCATCCCAGTCCTGACAGTAAGTGACTAACCCAAGGCCAATCAGCACGTTTAGAGGGGTAGTCATTTGTCTGTGACTCCAGGGACTCCTGGGTATATTCTAGAGGTCTTGGGGCCTCCTTTCAACGCCCCTCCAGTGTAGAACCCCCTCCCCCACGCTCGGGGCGCTCCAGCCTCAGGGGCCTCCCCCCCCACCCTCACAACCTGCAGACACCCTCTCCGACAGGCACGCGCGCACGTGCACACACACGCTCCTTACCTCCTGGAGAGCCGCAGCCTCACCACTCCCTGGGGGCCCCTTCCCTGGTTTGTAGGGACCCAGAGGTTGGGGCTGGAGGCAAGGGCAGGCCTGGGGGGACGTAGGGGAGTGCAGGTTCGGCATGGGTGTCCAGTCAGGCCCCACCGCTGTCTGCAGCTGGACAGCTTCAGCCATGTACCTGGGGAGGAACAGGCCACATGCAGGCCACTGTCCTCCTGGCCTGGTCCCCCGCACCCTTCAGCGTGGGAAGCAGGCAGCCCAGGGCTTGGCTCTGCAGGAAGCTGAGGTCGGCCTTGTGCATAAGGCCGCGCCCCTCTGCGCCATCATGGGGCAAGAACCCACAGAGGTGAGGAAGTGGGGAGGCCCCAGAGCTCCCAGTGCCCTGGAGAAGACCCTGGAGGAGCAGGAACCGTGAGTGTAAGGGCCTGGGGCTGAGGTGAGGAGCGGGGGGCGCCCACCTCCGCCCCACCCCAGCCCCAGGTTTACCAGGGCCTGTGCTTTGCCAACTCACTTGGGGCCCCGTGGCGCACAGATTGTTAAATACCAGTTGCTGGCACAGCCCTGGTCGAAGGGGTTGTATCCCTGAAGGTGCCTGCACTGGAGGAGGGTGGAAACCGGAAGAGGAGCTCAGAACCGGCAGGAAAGGCTGTGCCGTCACCCAGTGGCCCTCCCGGAGCTGGTCAGCCAGCCAGGGCTCAGCCCAGCAGCAAGCTGCGGTTAGAGGACCCCCACGGCACCGTCCTCCTGTCTGTCTCCACCGGCCACACACATCCTCCTGCCTCCTTCCAGAGACAGACTGCCTTCCCTGAAGGTCAGCTGTGTGAGGCCCAATCACACGTCCCAACCACCGTCACGTGGCCCAGGAAAATCTGGGCTCAAGCCCTGAACACACACCAGGTTCTCTGCCCACTGCCTCTACCCATCCGTCTCACCCCTCCTGAACTCCTTCCTCCTCCCCAGGGCAGGCTGGGCCTCACCTGACTTCAAGAGCCTTCGCTGTCACGTCCTGTCACTGAACGTGGCCCAGCCACGTCTCTGCCCACCACCAACGCCTGCATGTCCCATCCCCCCGGCCCCGCAAAGACTGAGCTTTTCAACACCATTCTCCACCGAAGGGGTCTGGACGCCATGCAGGGCAGCTGGCACTCGAGGGGGGAAGTCAGGACCACTCCAGGAGAGCTCAGCATTGCCACAGGGCGACACGCTTCCTTGCAGGATTTGAGGTTCTGCCTATTTTAGGGTGTTTAAAGCAAGCAAAAGAAGCTGGTATTGCTGGTATTGGCCAGGAAGGGTGGCTCACGCCTGTAATCCCTGCCCTTTGGGAGGCCGAGGTAGGTGGATCACTTGAGGTCAGGAGTTCGAGACCAGCCTGGCCAACATGGCAAAACCCTGTCTACTAAAAATACAAAAATTAGTCTGGTGTAGTGGCACATGCCTGTAATCCCAGCTACTCGGGAGGCTGCGGCAGGAGAATCGCTTGAACCCAGGAGGTGGAGGCTGCAGTGAGCCGAGATCGCACCACGGCACTCCAGCCTGGGCGGCAGAGTGAGACTCCATCTCAAAAATATATGTATATTCCAGGGGCTGGTCTGAAAGCAGTGGGTGTCTCGCCTTGTGCAGTAAGTTACAGATTCAGTTCCTCGTTCTACTCTTTCCTTACTTCACTCTACCAAGCACTGTGCTGGGGACTGAGACACACACACACAACACCCAGGGCCAGCCTGAACCTTCAGGGTGCTGAGGACAGTACCAAGGGAGGGAGCAGGAACCCAGGCCGAGACGCCCAGGCACAGGCAGAGGACCCGGCCCGGAAGCCGGGGCGGAGCCCTGAGGGGCGGGGACAGGCCGTGCAGCCGCGTTCAGTTTCAGAAGCTGCTGTGTGCGGTCCAGACAGAGTAGGTGAGGACTGGCCACTGGCCTTGGCCACCTAGTGGGAGCAGCAGCAGTGTGACGGTGAGGACTGTGGCCGGCTGAGCTGGGGGAGGGGGTGGAGCAAGTGGGCACTGCCAGCTCTGTCAGGAGACCCGGCTGCAGGAAAGCAGAGTACAGCGAGGAGTGGAGGCTGGCGAAGGGAAGAGAGGGTATGGCTTTGCTTTTACGATGAGACAGACAGAAGCATGCGGAAATGATGACAATGAATGGTGGCTCACACCTGTCATCCCAGCACTTTGGGAGGCCGAGGCAGGCGGATCACCTGAGGTCAGGAGTTCGAGACCAGCCTGCCCAACAGGGAGAAACCCCATCTCTACTGAAAATACAAAATTAGCCGGGCATGGTGGCGGGTGTCTGTAGTCTCAGCTACTCAGGAGGCTGAGGCAGGAGAATCGCTTGAACCTGGGAGGCGGAGGTTGCAGTGAGCCAAGGTCGTGCCACTGCGCTCCAGCCTGGGTAATGAGCAAAACTCCGCCTCAAAAGAGTAAGAAACAAACAATAGTGTCGCCATCTAGAGCACTCACTTGTGCCAGCTGCTACTCTATGTCTTTTTCTTTTTTTTCTTTGAGACCGAGTTCTGCTCTGTTGCCCAGGCAGGAGTGCAGCAGCACAATCTCAGCTCACCAAAACCTCTGCCTCCCAGGTTCAAGTGATTCTCCTGCCTCTGCCTCCCACGTAGCCGGGATTACAGGCGCTCACCACCACACCCGGCTAATTTTTTGTATTTTTAGCAGAGATGGAATTTCTCCATGTTGGTCAGACTGGTCTGGAGCTCCCGACCTCAGGTGATCTGCCCACCTCAGCCTCCCGAAGGGCTGGGATGACAGGCGTGAGCGCCGAGCCCAGCCAGCTTTATTATAATCTTCCAAAACTAGAAATACCACAAACATCTTCAATGGGAAATGGATAAATAAGTTATTGAACATCCACACAGTACAATACTGAACAGCAATAAAAAGGAATAAATGACTCATAGGAACAACAACATGAATGAATCTCAAATGTTCTGGGCTACGTGAAAGAAGGCACTCTCACAAGCCAACAATTCCATGTATTCTGGAAAAGGAAAAATGATACGGACAGAAGACAGGTCCGTGCTTGCCAAGAGCTGCAGCTGGGGGAGAAATCGGCTACAACAGACCATGATCTCTGATTTTCTGGGGTAATGGAACTGTTCTAAATATTGATTTTGGTGGTGGCTGCAGGACTGTATCCATTTGTCAAAACTCATAGCTGTACACTAGAAAAGGAAGAGCATTACACAGGTAGATTATTGCCCAATAAATGACTTTTTTTTTTTTTTGGAGACAGAATCTCGCTCTGTCTCCCAGGCTGGAGTGCAGTGGCACAATCTCAGCTCACTGCAACCTCCACCTCCCGGGTTCAAGAGTAGCTGGGACTACAGGCACGCACCACCACGCCTGGCTAATTGTTAGCCAGGCTGGTCTCAAACTCCTGGCCTGGCCTCAAGTGATCCTCCCACCTCGGCCTCCCAAAGTGCTGAGATTACAGGCGTAAGCCCCGCATGTGTCTAATGAACTTGACTTTTAAAGAATCCTACCCTGGCTCTCTGCATCAAGCCTAAATTCTCCACCTGACTTTCTGGGCCACGGTGCCTAGCCTGGGCTTTAAAAATAATAATAATAATAAGGTCTCGCTCTATTTCCTAGGCTGGAGTGCAGTGGTGCAATCACAGCTCACTGACTTCAGCCTTTATCTCCCAGGCTCAAGCGATCCTCCCGCCTCAGCCTCTGGAGCGGCTGGGACTATAGGCACATGCCACCACGCCTGGCTAATTTTTTAACTTTTTGTAGAGATAAAGTCTTGTTCTGTTGCCCAGGCTGGTCTCAAACTCCTGGGCTCAAGTGAGCCTCCCACCTCGGCTTCCCAAACTGCTGAGCTTACAGACATGAGCCACAGTGCCCGGCCTGGACCTCTTCAGTGTAACCAGCGGGGATCAGTCAGCATGGTTGCCCACACCACCTTCTCCCCAGTTAGAATTGCTTCCTCACCATCTGTCAGATCCACAGACTTTCAGGCTTCCCTGAGTTTCTGCAAAGGTGTGCCCATCACCTGCAATGCCCTCCCCTGTCCTGTCTCTCCCAGACCACTAAGCTGCACATCCTCCTCTGCTGCGGAGTCCTCCCTCAACTCTCAGTGCCTGAGTCTGCCAGGCCCAGGACCACTCTGAGCCCTCGTGGGTATCTGGTGGGTGTCACTCTGATTTCAGGTTCCTCATCAACACAGGTGTGGAATGCAGCCTGACTCACCTCTATGCTTACGCTCACGGTAACACCAACAGCCTAGCACGCAGTAGGCTCCCATGCTCACAGTAACACAAACGCCTAGCACACAGTAGGCTCCCACGCTCACAGTAACACAAACCGCCTAGCACACAATAGGCTCCCATGCTCACAGTAACACAAACGCCTAGCACACAGTAGGCTTCCACACTCACAGTAAACCAACAGCCTAGCACACAGTAGGCTTCCACACTCACAGTAACACCAACAGCTTAGCACACAGTAGGCTCCCACGCTCACGGTAACACAAACAGCCTAGCACACAGTAGGCTTCCACACTCACAGTAACACAAACAGCCTAGCACACAGTAGGCTCCCACGCTCACAGTAACACAAACAGCCTAGCACACAGTAGGCTTCCACACACAGTAACACAAACCGCCTAGCACACAGTAGGCT